CAAGATTCAATTATGCAAGGGTACTGCCATGACCCCTGGACGATTTCTTAGGAACATCTTGACCTTTAGCCAAAGTGGCACTCAAAAAGATGTTTGGTGTTTGATTGCTGCCTCAGAATTTTTATATTTTACTGACAAGCCTTTGCCTGACTTTGTAGGCAGAATTTTAAAGAAATTCCTGGATGGCCTGAGAGTCTGTGTTCAATATTCTTACATTTTAATTACTGGAGATCTGAAAGTTAAAAGAAAGATGATTAATATCTTGTAGCCTGTAATAGATGCAATTTAACTAATTGTATAACATGATATAGTAGAAGGAAGGGAAGAGTGATACTTCACCAGCCCTCTTTTGTCTTATTTCCAGCTAATATTTCAGAGCCATGGCATGCTGATGCTGGTTTTCAACTCTTACAACAAACACATGGCCAGCTGACTAGACCTAAGCAAGCTCTTGGACTCTTCATACTTGAAGTGGCTGCCTTAGTTTCATTGATTGCTTCCTTGGTCATAGCTTTGGTGGTCATATCTCAAAATGTCCAGCCTGCAAATTTTCTGAATAATTTGGCTCAGAACACTTCCAAAGGTCTTCATAATCAGATAATTGTTGATGAAAAGATTGAAACTAAGTTAAATGCCTTAGAAGGTACTGCCATAAATATCAGTAATGAGCATTTAGCTTTAAAGTTCTAGAAAAGGCTCAAATGTCACACTGATTATAAATATGTGTATGTTAATGCTGCCAAATACAATGCTTCCAAATGGAATTGGAAAAAGGTTAAAAATCATTTATTGGGTATTTGGGCAAAGAATAGCAACAGCTTGAATCTTTTGGATTTATATTATCATATGCAAGATATAAAAAAAAATGTAAGGTTGATTTGTCAGATCCTACCTCTTTAGCCAATCAAATATTTCAAGAATTAAATGGGTTTTTACCCTGGAAACATTCTAAAATATTATGCATAGTATATTATTGGACTGTTCTCTTTGCTGTTAATTCTCTCTTGTATTGTAATCATAGGATTTTGTGCCTTCCAAGCAAGAATTCCGGAACTGGAGAGAGGAACTCATCACTTACTTTTTCAAAGAAAGAAGTGGGGATGTGTGTGGAACCACACTGAATGAACATGCCTTTGAGTCCTGAACAATTATTGTGTTCCCCAGTAACTTGGGCTTTATCTCCACTGGAATAATAAGGCGTGGCTCCAGGAGTAGGCGTTGCCCCCTGGGGATGAGTTACACTCACCTGTTCCTTTGTAATCCTATTCTTTTTGCCCTTTTTCAGATAGAATGTTCCAAGAAACAGTGTTCCCCAATAAAAGGCCACTTCAGAACGTGCACTCCCTCTGTCAGTCTCTCATGATTTTTCTTGCCCCTTTGGTGACAGCCTGAGGCTGAGAGCTGGGGAAGCCATCGTGAAGCTTATAAAAACGTCTGTGTGTTCTTTTGTGTCACCCCAAGTTCACACGAGTGACTTTAGTTCAGTTGCCTGCACTGAACGCGGGCACCAGCACAGCGCCCATTCCTTCCAACTTGAAGAGCTGAGCTCCAGATTCACCCTGGTGCCTGTTGTGTATGAAGGATAGACTGCAGCTCAGGGAGAGGAAGTGGACATGCTCTCTGAGTCTACATGCTTTGATCTGTGTTCAGATACAAAACTCAGTGTCGTCTTTTGGAGGGCAGTCATAGTTAGGAAAACTGTATTGAATGTGTTATTGGACAAACAGCAAAAAATTTACCAAACAGTTAATAAATTTTTGGAAATGTGAAGGAGGCACACAGGCTCAATACCTACTCTGATGGCATCTCAAAGATTCCAATATAATCAGAAAAAGCACCTGAGTGTGTGTTTCCATCATCAAAACCCATATTGTAATCCCATCATCACATGAGTTATGCTTGCTACTGTGGAAAATAGAAAAAGTCTTGCACATTATTTTAATGTCATTTTTCTCATGTGTTATTTGCTTACACAAAGAAAGACAAATTGGTATAAAAAATTATGTATTTGAGATTCTAGAACCTAAATTTTTTTAGGGAGGAGACAATATCCTATATATATATATATATATATATATATATATATATATATATATATATATATATATATATATATTATAATTAGGGTGGATTTCATAGGACACACTATACCTTCACAGAACAAGAACCATGTTTGCAGGGTGACCCAGTTATAGGAACTGCAGAGAAGCTTGTGTTTAGAAGGTGAGCAGCACAGCCCCTGGGAGAAGACCCTGGCCTCATCAGCTACAGTTGTGCTAGTGGGGAGAGAACAGCAGGAACTAGTGATGGGGAGAAGGCAAGGTCACTAATGCAGATTCAGGCACCCAAGGAACTTCGGAGCCACCCAGGCATATGACTGTGGTGAACATGAGTGCTGAATGGGTCTGGGAAAACAGAACCCTGGCTTCCTGAGGTGCTGAGACTGGTGCAGAGTTCTCAGACATGCTCCTGCCAGGAGTCTCCAGGAAGGGAGCCTCCAGTGGCAGCATCATATTTGCTGGGTGTTGTGCTTGACTCTGTATTCCAAGATCGTGTGTGTGTGTGTGTGTGTGTGTGTGTGTGTGTGTGATGTGCTGAGATAGTCACCAGAAAGAACTGGGGCAGGAACATTCAACTGATCTCTTGATGTCAACTCAAGAAAAGGTACAGGCTGAGGCAAAACCAATTCTGAACAAGTACTAATAAAGGCAATTTCTTCTTGTTTTCCTTTAGCGTTTCATTTCAGGTTGAATGCTCAATTTTTTCTATTTTTCTTAAAAGGAATTTGAAGGAGTAGGTTTTCACAGAGGAATGAAACCAAACTTCAAATGACTTCATTTGCTTGGGGTTGTTTCCACAAAACTAGAAAGGCCTACTTCTGCTGCTCCTGCTAGTCTTCGTGTCTGTCCCTGCCCATTTGGGGAACTCGGGAATGACTGGCCTCATCTGCTTGGATCCCCAGCTCCTCACCCCATGTACATTCTCCTCAGCGCTCTCCCTTAGGGACCCGATGAACATCTCTTTCACTGTTCTCAAGGTGGCCCTCAACTTTCTCTCTGGCCAAAAAAAGCATCTCCGGACTGAACTATGGTGAGCAAGTCTTCTTCTTTATGACCATGGCAAGTTCTGATGGCTTACTCCTGGCCTCCATAGCCTATGACTACTCTATTGCCATGTGTCACCCCACTGTTACTGCATACATATGAGCAAACAAGTGTATGTTAAGATGATTCTGGGGTCCCAGCAATTCACTGTCTCTAAATACAAAATAAAAAGAATTGGGAATGTGGCTCAGTGGTGAGCGCCACCAGACTAAATCCCCAGTACAATATATTGTAAGGGTCCGGCAAAGCGTCGAAGAAAGAGACCACCAAGTGACCACTCATGCAATTGGCAGAAGGGGATTTATTGATCTAGCATGCTAGGGCTCCATGCCCACTCAAGAAGGGAGAACAGCCCAGAGCCCCAAGCAGGGGCTGAGCACTGCTTAAGTACACTTTTTTGGGGAGGGCAGGGATTTTGCATACATCACAGTCTCCTTTAACAAATCATCATACACCGTGGGAAAATCAAACAATTCCTAAACATGATTAGTTCATTCATTGGCGGGAACAGGTCAGGCGGGGGTGATAGGTCAGTTCTAAAGTGGGGTACACAAACTGATTGGTTTAGGCCCTGCGATGCCTACGTGCGAGACCACACAGAGCCCTTCAGTTATTAAACAACCAAGAAGTCAGGGGAAATATTTACTGGGTGGTTCCAAGCATTATCTCAACAGCTACAGGAATTTCAGGTTTTGCAGGTAGCACAGAAACCTAACAATACCTAATCCTTTACATTTTAACTCAGGTCTTGCAGCTTAGAAACTTTACAATGCCCGGTCTTTTACCCTTTAACTTCAATTTCTTTTACCCTTACATTCCCCACTCCTTTTTTCTGACAACTTTTAATCTTAAATGTAATGCATCAAGATTATTGAAGGGTTATACATTTCATGAGTTGTTTTGTGTTCCCTGGAATCATTTTCAGCATGGCCTCCATTTTAGATTTCACTTGGTATTAGACCCCGATTTGTCTAACTACACTGACTACCTAACTTTAAATCTGGCTTCATTCCCCCCTCTAATTTGGGAACTCCTCACTGCTGTGAGGAAGGGGGGCGAAGAGGATCTTTCTGGCTCCTTCAGGCTGAAAAGGGTTGGTGTGGGGCAAGCAGTTTGGAGTCCCCCTTTAAAAATATCGGGTCTATCGAGTGGTCCACGATAAAAGTCCAATTGAGAAGTATTAGGCTGGAGGGCCATTCGAGGGATAGGTGGTCTATAAGAGAAACAAGAATTCATTAGTACTGGAACCAGACTGATGCAGCAATAAATGTCACAGCACAGGAATATGCCAATGAGTATAATGGCCAAGACAGAGACTAACAATGTTTTCCACCAGGAAGTACCAAGAACCAGGAGCTAAGATACTGTTTCCACAACAAAGTTGCTGAGGACATGGCTTCTATCTGAGCATGTAAATCTTTAAGGATATTTGTCACCTTGCCAGAAATGTCAGGGATGTAAACACAACAATTAACATTTAGGTTTACAGATGTCCTTTCCCTTAAGATATAGTCTAATAATTTAATGTCATCTGATCTTGTAAAACCCTTTTACTAGTATGACCTCTGTGTCTAATAGAGAAACCTTTAATTCTGTTACTTAGGGCTGGATGACCATACTAGCAAACACCAAGCCTACCTGTGTAGGTTAGGAATATCTGTGGGCCTTAAACTAAAAACTACTCTGGCAGTTCCTTTTAATAGTTATCAGGCATTCCTGTCTGAGAATCTCTTTTGTAGCCTCCAGTTTACTTATTTTTGGAAGTTACATTTAATTATTATTATCATTTAAAATGCCCAGTGTCCCGACCAGCAGGACACATCAACGTGGGCCTTGAACCTAGGTGGGGAGGAATGAAGGGACAAGAGACACAGAAGGATGACAGCAAGACAGGAGTTCTGATCAAGCTGCAAACTTTTATTGTTCACACAGGGGTATTTGTACGCTGGGGATGGGGAAGCTCTCTTATCTGCAGTTGCTGGATGTCTGCACAAGGTGAGATAACCGCAGGATGTTTCAGGAAGATAGGTGGCTGCAGGATGTCTCAGGGAGATAGATGGCTGCAGGGTGTCTCCCAGGCAGGATGTCTCCCAGGGGGCTGTTTCTTGTAAGTGTCAGGCTATTATTTGAAGGAGAACTCCCTTCTAGTCCCTGGCATCTCCCCCTTACTTATATAAAATATTTGACCATACCTTATCAGCCTGTGTCTAATAGAGAAATCTTTAATTCTGTTACTTAGGGCTGGATAACCATACTAGCAAACATTAGGCCTACCTGTGTAGGTTAGAAATAAAGGCCTTAAACTAAAAACTATTCTGGCAGTCCCTTTTGATGGTTATCAGGCATTCCTGTCTGAGAATCTCTTTTGCAGCCTCCAGTTTACTTATTCTTGGAAGTTACATTTAACTATTATTATCATTTAAAATGCCCAGGAATAGTAGTGTTTTGGCTTTGACTGTCTTTGCTAAGTGTTTAAGATGAAGCAAGTCAAACTGACTTTTGTTTCTATCTATTGTTAACAGTCAGCTGAGTTTCCCTGGGAGTCCTCGGGGAACTTACAGCAGCTTTTCAGTTCTGCTAGTGCCATTTGCGCTAGGATGGGTCCAGGCATTGCTTGACCATATGGCTTCCCTCGGAAGCATCAGGGATGTCTCCCTTTTCTGATGACCCTCCTCTTCACAGCAAATGCACTGATTGGCTTTCTGTCCTCCATTGGTCTCATTAATCTCCCTGTTCAGGAGGTTATGTGGCCTAGAGTTGCAGAGTTCTTTGGAGAAGTCCCCTATTCCCTGACTCAGACTGACTCTGAGGGCAAGAGCCAAATATTGGTTTTCTTGGCCCTTTTAATTTAACTTTAATTTTAGAACTTAATCTTAAACATTCAGCAAATAAGTTTTAATAGCCTTATATAAAAAGTACTGGGCTTTAATGTCTATCTCTCTATCCTGAAGATGATAACCCCTTATCTTAAATTAACCCAGGTTGTGTGTTCTTAAATCAGTACCTCTGCAAAACATTAACAAGCAATCCTTAGACCACCTATAAGCAAACTACAAACTAAAATTAACTAGGGTAAAAACATATTTAGTTTATATAATAGCTACCTCGAATTTTGGCAGGGTTATACATTATAATCCCCTGTTTGAGATCCTAGTAATCTTGGCAAAAACCAACTTTTGGACATAACTTTAAATGTACTGAAATCTGGCCTACTTCTTTCATAGTCTCAGGCTCTTTGTAAATCTTAAGTACTATAGTTCTGAAGCTGATCTTTGCTTTTTAGACATCATTTTACAAAGCTTACATAAATTGTTGTTCAAGTTTACATGAATATTAGCTAACACAACATAATATCACATCTGAAACATGAATTAAAGGCTGAAAACTTTTAAACTTTTATAGAAAAGTAGCAAAGTACTTTTGTGTTTTACAATAAAACCTTCACACAGATTAGGCTCTCATTAACTTAAAAATACATTTAAATTGTATCTCAGTGTAGAAGTAACATGGAACTTTACATATCTTATTGATAACAAGTCCAGTTATAGAACACAAATGATATAAATAAATCTCCAACATGTTTTTCTTTTAAGCCTAAAATTACCATACAACTTCAGAACACCAGCTTGATATAATGCTCTTTTGAAGCTTCTACCTTACAGACTTGTATACCTGGAAGATATGAATTAATAGCACCATAATTACATTGATGATTTTATATTAACCAAGTTTAACTCTTAAAGAAATAATCATTACAATATTGAAAAATAACAGTTGTTGTATAACCATAGTTGTATAATTTTTAATTTCTTTAAGATTACTTGTTCAAAAACTTACACATATAACCAATTTACACAGACCTTTTTTATCACTTACTTAAACCCTTTTGTTAACTTGATCATATAGACTTTTTTATCCAGAAACACATTTTCCCTCTATTAAATCCATATCTAGAACTTTTTAGTTTTTCTTTTCCATCTGTTAACCTTCTTTTTTATTCACATTTTGAAACAATACTTGTAAATTTCTGAATTTAAGCAATTATTTCATAGACATCAACATTTTATTACGTTTTATTTTTGAACACCTAGAAAAACTTATAAGCTTAATTTTAAAGACATCTTTACTTTTATCTGTTTACCCAATTTAAATTGAACCATTTGAATCACGTGAATCAAAGATATTTGGATCTGTTTTTTTTTTTTTTTTTTCTGAGCGCTCCTCGTATATCTGCCAATTGTCATATAACTGCATGATATATGGACATATACACATATAGACATACTGACATACAACACATAACACAAATGTAACACATACACAAGGCCTTGTAGCTGTTTTTTTTTTTTTCAGGTGAAATCTCCATTGCAATGTTTAAAAACTCCACAGTTGATCAAAAATAAAACTGATCAGAAAACATTAACTTGCCTATAGGATAAAAAAAATACAGAATCTAAGAAAAGCAAGAGTCCTAAAAAGATGACTGGCCAGTAATTAGTATATAAGTATATATACCATACAATTTACTTTTTGGTTTGGTCTTGTTTGAGTTCAGGTAAAAAGACACTTTTAAGAAAGGGGCATCTGTGGGGATGTAAACTTAAGAAATAAGCCTGTGAGAAGGGTAGAACATCCTTTTAAATGTTGGCAGCACGGTCTTCCATCTCCAGATGATGATAGTGAACCTGTATGGGCTTAGAGGCCAAAATATTAATCTGTTCTTTAATAAATTGTACCAGCCTGTTTATAATGCAGGGTCCTATGGACACCATTAAAAGTAAATCCAACAAAGGGCCTAATAGTGGAAGAAGGTAGGGTAGAAATCCATTAAGCCCAGTCCAGAGGGGATTTTCAAATAGTTCCCTTCATCTCTTTTCTAAATCTTCTTGAAGCTGCTTAATTTTTGTGCGTACTATGCCTGATTTATTGGCATAAAAGCAGCATCTTTCCCCTAAGGCCAAGCAAATACCTCCCTGGTTAGCTGTCAGCAAATCTAAGCCTCGTCTGTTTTGAAGGACCACTTCTGCCAGGGAGTCTATTTGGTCCTGTAAATCTTTAATGGTTCCTGATAGAGTTTGTACATCCTCTATAAGTTTTTGAGATAGGCGATGGTAAGAGTGTATAGCCGTGCCTAAGCCAGCGGTACCTGTGCCCACAGCAGCTGTTATTCCAAGGCTGGCAAGGAGTGGTAAGGCCTGTATTGCCTGCCTGTGTCTTTTGACTAAAGTGTCTAGGCTAGGAATGGGTAGAGGTTCATCTCCTGGGACAATAGTTATATCAGGGAGTAATAAGGCAAGAACAGAGCCACCGGTCCAATACGTTGGAAGCCTGGGGAAGGCTGAGTTTCCTCCACACATAAAAACTGTGCCATTGGGGGGACAAAGAGATGGGGTGGGTGAGGAATAATTGTTTACTGTTGAGCAATTTCCAAAGGAAGTAACTCCAACATCAATACCATAGGTATTATTCTGCATCGCGCCTAAAAGACATGATGTAAAAATGCCTATAGGCTGTACTTTAAAAGGAAATCCGGATTGGCATGTATTATCATTGTCTATAATAGAATTAATAGGAACTGCCATAGGCATGATTGCCCCTGTTTTCATGCAGAGCCAGCAATCACCAGCAAGGGTGGGGTTGGAATTATTAAGCAAGGAGAAGGTAGTTTCCAAAATATCTAATGTATTGGTATCTAAATCTGGGAGCTGGGATTTAGGCAGCATTAAGGGATGATATGTGAGCTCAGGGATTTGGGGTTTCAAAAGTTTGATTATCTGAAGATGCTTGACAGCATCAGTGGGTCCTCCACCATCAGAGACCCCTGTAGGGGCCTTAATGGGCCAGCAGGAGGGTTTACCGACAGTGCCTTGGCATCCAGCTGACTGTAACTTGGTGTATATGCCTTCTCCTCCCTGGTCAAAGAGAACGGGAGTATAGTGAATAGTGGTCCCCTCTGCTGCATGAGTTTTAGTTAGAGTGGCTTCAAAAAATTGTTCTCCCTGCTTGTTAACACAAATTGAGGCTGACACATAACAAGAGACATGCATCGCCTGGGTATGCGTGCAAGTTGCAGAACAATTTTGGAGAGCTTTACTTGTACTGGGGGAAATAATCTTTGGCTTGTTAACACATACCCATTTAGGCTGATGGTCAACCTCGGCACGGAGGTAAGCCACCTTAGTCAAGCAGTCAGCAGTCTGGGTCCAACTAGTGGGAGCCTGAGTCCAAGATCCTCCCTTGCATTTGCAGGGGGGGCCAAAAAGGTACTCCATGATGTTGGAAGGTGGAGGGCCAAGGCCTCCGTGTACAAACCTGTTCAGCAGAAGTGCCTTAAGCAGGATCCTCACACAGATTGTTGGCTGCATCTGCAAAAGAGGAAAATTTGTCCTCAGGGGGAGGGCCTCCATCCCTGGGTTGAGGTAAGTCATTAACCTGTTTAACCAGGTGTTCTGGTAACCATCTTGGGGCTGCTTGCTCTTGGTCCAAAACAGAAGCTGAGCCTCGTTCCCAGATGAGGACAGGATCTGGGCCTTTCCATTTATTTGTAAGGGGATCGCGCCACATAACAGGTGGGTGAACAGATGCCATTGTCTGTCTGCGGCCAAATGGCCTTCACTGTCTAGGGTAAGAAAATTAAGGGCAAATAATGCATGGTTAAGGCGATCCCAAAATCTTTATATTTTAGAATATTATCCTTTAAATAGGTATCTCTTAATTGCCTTTAAAAAAATATGATTAAGGTTATTTCCTGTGTAGGGAGCAGTATATAAATCTTACTGCATTTTTTATGGACAATAGATCTAGTCAGAGAACTTACATAATAACAATGAATTTTTAAAGTCTGTAAGCTTTATTGTTTAAAATTAATATATAACTTTAATTTGGAGAACCTTAGTCTTAATAAAATGTTGTGTTTTTTTTTTAAATTTTATGATTATCTAACAAACAAAATATGTAAAAATTAGTATCTCAGTGTCTTAGAATCAATTGATTTTAGTCTCTAAGGACAATTGTTAAAATCGGATTTAAGTTAGTAGTTCAATATACTTAAATGTTTAATCAACAATGTGAATTTATTTACCAAAATTAATCTTTGTCTTAAACAGTAAGAATTATTAGGCAATAAGGATCTTTCTTTAAAGAAATAAACTTACATTTTAATAGGTGCTTATCATGTCAAAATATGGACAAAATCTTAGCTCACATTAGTATAGTTAAACTAGGAAAAATAGCCTGAAATACCCTTAAATTAATTATAGTCAGTTTAGTATATATAAATCTCTTTTTTTTTAATCGTTCTAACTTTTTACATCATTTGTTTAGATAACAATATAAAAATCTGTTGTTTAGATAACAATATAAAAAAAACCCTAAGTAAAACTTAGGAAAATACTTTTATCATTGAAATATGAATATAAAGACCTTGTTTTACCCAAAGATGATTTCTTTTTTCTTTTTAGGATCCATGTGTGCTTTTTCTTTGTTGAAGCATCTTTTTCTTTTAGAAAAATTTTTTTTTTTTTTTTGGTTATACTTGGAACAATTTCTGAAAACCTTAGAATCTATAAACAAATTATTGTACTTTGATAAGAAATATCAATGAAAATATAGTTAAAATCCTTAGATATTTTGTAGACATAATTATAATTATTTATCATCTTATGAGTTTGAACAATAACTTTGACAATTAGAAACTACTTGAAGATTGTATTTTCACTTAAAAGCACATTTATCTCAAATATCTGTAACTGAAAAGGCAGAGTATCTGATAAATGTAAATATAAAACATAATTTATGGGTTTTCTGTTGAAGAAAAACAATTAGGCAAATATATATTAACTAATTAATTAGGCATGTGCTAATTATTTTATAGATTAACAAATATAGGTTATCTAAATATCTTAAAATATATATATTAAGAATAAGAACATAACTTAAATTGTATTAATTTTATGTAACCACATGGTCTTAAAATATTTGGATCTATTTTAATTTATTTTTAACTAGGAGTGCACTCTTCTATGTGACATCACTTGATGTAACTGAAATAAAATCCTTGTTGAGTATACATATTTATTTTTTATAGTTAGGAATGAGAATAAGGATTTTTTGATCATCACAGGAACATTGCCGGCTTTGTTCCTGTGGCGAGCAAATGCATCCTTATAACCTCCAAAATTAAGAGTAAAATATAAAGAAGCATGTTTGATATCTCTCATCAATAGAACATTATTTAGTAACACAACTATAGAGAAAAGTCAGGTTATTTAACTCAGAACTAACTTAAATTTAGGGCTGCAACATAGAAAGCTGTGGAATTAAATTTTGTCTGAAAAAGATATCTTTCGTTAGCATTTACAGGTAGGCATTCTAAAAATATAGGCTCTGAACAGCTCCGGTAGAAATCTGAAACACAGTAGTACAGATTAGTGGCTGGAAGGCGGGACTAGAAGTCCTGTCTGAGTGACTGTGGAAGAACAAATCGGAAGCCCACGAAAGTGTGGAAGGTGGGACCAGGAAGCCTGCTCTTCCGGCCAGTCACCCCATGGTTACCATGGTGATGCAAACAACATGGAGTCCGCTGCCCATTTTCGGGGCAAAAGTTCCCCAAGTTTTCCTAGCCAATTGCATTTTGTTTGATTTTGTCTGCATTTTCCCCCGCCTGGCCAAGATCTTACCGCGGTAGCAGCTTGTTCTGTCTCTGCAACCTGCGGTTGCAGCTTGTGTACATCCTGCACTTTTTTCTGTGACACGTGGGTGCTCCAAAGGTTTTTTAGTAGCAAACGCTGGCATTACCATCAGATCTTAAGTTAGTCTGTGTTTGGCATTTAGGTCAAGTAATTCAAGGATTAAAAGTACTGTTGGCCGCAGGGGCTAGGACCCCATAGCGAGCAGCAGCGGCTAAAATCTCTTGTCCCCAGCTGCTGAGTTATAGCCATTCTGATTCATAGGACAACCATGTAGTAAAAAGGTCCGTACATACTTTCTGAGTATTGACAAAAACAATAGAAAATTGAAACTTATTTCTCTCTAGGTAAACATCACATTTTCTCTCCCTTTTTCTCACTCTCCTAGTGCAAACTTCTAGAACATAAAGGCCAAAAAATATCTCTTTTTTTTAAAGCTTTTTTTTTTTAATTAATTAGTTTCCAGTAAGAAAAGGTGGGAACAGGCACCTTTTCTGGGCCAAAGGATTCATAATAATCTTTTAAACAGTCTCCAACTCTAAGCCATCTTTTACCATCAATGATCCCTTCAAGGGGAAACCATGGACACAATTCTCCTATGTATGAAAAGAATAATCTTAAGTCCTTTTTCTTAACACGTGCCCCCCGTGTCTTGAGGGCTTCCTTGAGGCCTGACAAAAACAACTCATGTGACGAAACTGCTTGTCCCATGGTGGGTCACTCACCTCCTGGATCTGTCTCTCGGTCGTGTCTGCCGATGCGATCGCGAGCTCCCGCTTGGCCAAGTCTTCCCGGAAGACCGTGTTCACCCTCAGTCAAAGGCTCGAGCCCCACACTGGGCGCCAAATGTCCCGACCAGAAGGACACATCAATGTGGGCCTTGAACCTAGGTGGGGAGGAATGAAGGGACAAGAGACACAGAAGGATGACAGCAAGACAGGAGTTCTGATCAAGCTGCAAACTTTTATTGTTCACACAGGGGTATTTGTACGCTGGGGATGGGGAAGCTCTCTTATCTGCAGTTGCTGGATGTCTGCACAAGGTGAGATAACCGCAGGATGTTTCAGGAAGATAGGTGGCCGCAGGATGTCTCAGGGAGATAGATGGCTGCAGGGTGTCTCCCAGGCAGGATGTCTCCCAGGGGGCTGTTTCTTGTAAGTGTCAGGCTATTCTTTGAAGAAGAACTCCCTTCTAGTCCCTGGCAGCCCAGGAACAGCTGTGTTTTGGCTTTAACTGTCTTTGCTAAGTGTTTAAGATGAAGCAAGTCAAACTGACTTTTGTTAACAGTCAGCTGAGTTTCCCTGGGAGTCCTCAGGGAATTTACAGCAGCTTCTCAGTTCTGCTAGTGCCATTTGCGCTAGGATAGGTCCAGGCCTTGCTTGACCATGTGGCTTCCCTTGGAAGCATCAGGGATGTTTCCCCTTTCTGATGACCCTCCTCTTCACAGCAAATGCACCGATTGGCCTTCTGTCCTCCACTGGTCTCATTAATCTCCCTGATCAGGAGTGGCCTAGAGTTGCAGAGCCCTTTGGAGAAGTCCCCTATTCCCTGATTCAGACTGACTCTGAGGGCAAGAGCCAAATATTGGTTTTCTTGGCCCTTTTAATTTAACTAATTTTAAAAACTTGATCTTAAACATCCAGCAAATAAGTTAACAGCCTTATATTGAGAGCACTGGGCTTTAATGTCTCTCTATCCTGTAGGTGATAACTCCTTATCTTAAGTTGACCCAGGTTGTGAGTTCTTAAAGCAGTACCTCTTTAAAACATTAACAGGCAACCCTTAAACCATCTATAAGCAAACTACAAAACAAAACTAACTAGGGTAAAAACATATTTAGCTTACATAATAGCTACCTTGAATTCTGGCAGGGTTATATATCATAATTCCCTGTTTGAGATCCTAGTAATCTTGGCAAAAACCTACTTTTGGACACAACTTTAACTGTACTGAAATCTGGCTTACTTCTTCCATAGTCACTTTTACATGTAGTGAGATGGGACAGAGCCTTATCTCAAGTAAGGCAGGGCTCTTTATAAATCTCAAGTACTATAGTTCTGAAGCTGATCATTTTACAAAGTTTACATAAATATTAGCTAACACAACATAATATCACACCTAAAACATGAATTAAAGAAAGGCTGAAAGATTTTAACCTCTTGTAGAAAAGTAGTAATGTACTTTTGTGTTTTGCAATAAAACCTTCACACAGATTAGGCTCTCATTAACTTAAAAATACATTTAAATTGTATCTCAGTGTAGAAAGTAACATAGAACTTTACATATCTTATTGATAACAAGTCCAGTTGTAGAACACAAATGATATAAATAAATCTCCAACATGTTTTTTCTTTTGAGCCTAAAATTACCATACAACTTTAGAACACCAGCTTGATACAATGTTCTTTTGAAACTTCTACCTTACAGACTTGTATACCTGGAAGATATGAACACATTAACAGCACCATAATTACATTGATGATTTTTATTAACCAAGGTTAGCTTTCTAAATAAACAACATTACAATATTGAAAAATAACAGCTGTTGTTTAACCATAGTTGTATAATTTTTAATTTCTTTTAAGATTACTTGCTCAAAAACTAACACACATAACCAATTTACACAGACCTTCTTTATCACTTACTTAAACCCTCTTAATTACTTAATCACATAGACTCTCTTATCCAGAAACACATTTTCCCTCTATTAAATCCATACCTAGAACCTTTTAGTTTCTCTTTTCCATCTGTTAACCTCCTTCTGTTCACATTTTGAAACAATATCTGTAAATTTCTGAATTTAGGCAGATTATTACATAGACATCAACATTTTATTAGGGTCTTTTTGAACACGTAGAAAAACTTATGAGCTTAATTTTAAAGACATATTTACTTTTATCTGTTTACCCAATTTAAATTGAATCATTTGAATCATGTGAATCAAAGATATTTGGATCTATTTTTAAATTTTTCATGAGCGCTCCTCATCTGTCAATTGTCATATCACTGCAGGATATATGGACATACACACATACAGACATACCGACATACAACACATAACACAAGTGTAACACCCTTGTAGCTTTTTCAGGTGAAATCTCCATTGCAATGTTTCAAAAACTCCACTTATCAGAAAAACATTAACCTAGGTCTGTAGGACCAAAATCATGAGCTCAAAAAAATACAGAATCTAAGAAAAAGCAAGAGTCCTAAAAAAAAAGATGACTGGCCAGTAATTAGTAAATATCATATAATTTACTTTTTGGTTGGGGTCTAATCTGAGTTCAGGTAAAAAGACACTTCTACTCTTTTTTTTTTCCTTGAATCTCAGATCTGTCCTCTATTGAGCCCCAGGCTTCTTCTATTTGCATATCAGCTTAAGTCCTGGCTGAGGTCTGGAAGGAACTGGGAAGACTGGAATTCTGAGCAGAAACCTCATGCCTAAGGCATTTTAGCCATAAGTCACAATTTCCACATTTGGAGCTTGAAAATTATGATGCAAGTTTAAGATACAATTCTCAAAATTTCATACCTTTACATCTTTCTACACTAGTAAAACTCACTCACACAAAACTGAAAATAGGATCTTTTTCTGATAATATAAAGGCCACCATCAGAGGAAATTCCCTCAGGATCATTAAGCTGCTTCCTTTGTTCTGAAGGTCGTAAAGTAGTACTAAGTTCTACCATGTATATCCAAAATTAAGCTTTAAAAATTCCCAAGACTGTTGCTAATTAATGTCATTTCAATAAGCCAGACCAATGTTTTAATTTAGCACCCCCACCCCCCCCCTTTTTTTTTCCTGAATCTTACACACTGAGGGGAACAGATATCATATCATAATTTATTATCCTTGCCCAGGTTAATGCACTGGAATACCTAGTGAAATTTTCTCGGGCTACCCAGTTCAAAATTGAAACTTTTTATTTTTTTTTTATCCTAAGTATTTAAGTTTTCCAGCATGAACTATCTGAAATCAAACTAAACAATTGCTTAAACCCAACTTTTAACTGCAAGATAGTGCAATGCTTTAGAAACCCATTCAGATACCAGATTGTTACAATAAAAAAAAATCATCTTTTAGATACACATTCAGTCAAGATCATCCCCAAGAAACAATCTATAATATCAACACATTACTGCATTCATTGTCCCTTTAGTTAAGTAAACAGAGGTGGAGTAATCCTTAAAGTGCAGGTAAGGAATGAGGGAGTTCCCCAGAGCAAAATGGCTCTGGCAGCTGCTGGGAGCCTCTCAGCCCCACCTTTTACATCCAGGATTAGTTTTGCGGGTTTGGTTTGACCCCAGGCACCAGGTATTTTTCACATCTCCTAACTTTTCAGTAGTCAGCTTCCCCAAAAAAGTTCATCCTCTGCTTGCAGTTGTTTCAAGTTTGAGAAAAGTGTAAGTGAGATATCAAAGTTTTTAGACCCCAGGCATTTCCCTCTGCAGTGGGCATGCTCAAGCCAACTACGGGAAGAAAAGAAAACACTGCTTCCCTAATCTCGCTTAACAAAGGGGGGTAAAGTTTATCAAAGTTCTTTAAAACACATCTAAGAGAGGTGTAAAAGGTGAGAACAGAAAAGCTGGCAGTTCTATTGACTTTTGGTCCCTCATAGGAGAAGCATTAGGTTAAAATTTAGCTAATGTTACTTCCACACATCTAAGGCAGTTTGGAATTTGGGACTCTGCATCAATCCAAAGTAAAACAATGCCATCACACTTAACAGAGACACAGACAAAAAGACACACAAAGATCATCATGCAGCTCCCGTTTGTTCACACCCCAAGATCTACAATCTTGTGACTCAGGGAGAATGGAGGGAAAAGGGGGATGAGCAGAAGGATTGAGTGATAGGATCTTGGGGGAAGGGGTCAGAGTGGAGGCAGGGACCAGGAAAGGCTTCAGGGACAGAGGCGTGGAATGGCTTTGTCCCATACTGGGAGTTACTCAGGCAGAGACAGGGACAATACAAACGTGACACAAACATGGACACACAGTAAACGTTTAACACAAATTCAGACGCAAAGATTAAAGGCAGACAGTGAACTCAACCTGAGAATAAAAGTAGCCGGCAAGACCTGACGGGCTGGCAGCAGAATCCCTTCTCACCGAATGAGGGTCCATCCGCCCCTCCCCGAGTCCTCCAAGGCGTCCCTTGCAAGGACGTGGCCTGTGGCTTCAGGACACGTCTGTCCACCACCACCAGGGGGAGCTCACGCTCTCCACTGGCAGCCACTCTGCCAACCCAAACTGAGAAACCGAACCTGAACAAAAAAGCTCTGAGAGCTCATGCTCTCCACTGAGCCAAAAACCAAACCTTACCAAAAAGCTCTGAGAGCTTACGCTCTCCACCAAGCCAAAAACCAAAAAGCTCTAAGCGATTGCAAAGGAAAAACAAGAAGGAAAAGAAGGAGAAGGAGGAGAAGAAGAGGAAGAAGAGGAGGCAGAAGAGGAGGAAGAAGAAGAGGAAGAAGAGGAAGAGGAAGAGGAAGAAGAAGAAGAAGAAGAAGCAGCAGCAGCAGCAGCAGCAGCAGCAACAGCAGAAGAAGAAGAAGCATCACCTTACTTACCCCCTAAAGAAGTCCGTTGGGGTCTCCTTGTCTGGCGATGCGCAGTTCCCGGCCAATGCACCAAATGTAAGGGTCTGGCGAAGCGTCGGAGAAAGAGACCACCAAGTGACCACTTATGCAATTGGCAGAAGGGGATTTATTGATCTAGCATGCTAGGGCTCCATGCCCACTCAAGAAGGGAGAACAGCCCAGAGCCCCAAGCAGGGGCTGAGTACTGCTTAAGTACACTTTTTTGGGGAGGGCGGGGATTTTACATACATCACAGTCTCCTTTAACAAATCATCATACACCGTGGGAAAATCAAACAACTCCTAAACATGATTAGTTCATTCATTGGCGGGAACAGGTCAGGCGGGGGTGATAGGTCAGTTCTAAAGCAGGATACACATTCAAACTGATTGGTTTAGGCCCTGCGATGCCTACGTGAGAGACCACACAGAGCCCTTCAGTTATTAAACAACCAAGCAGTCAGGGGAAATACTTACTGGGTGGTTCCAAGCATTGTCTTAATAGCTACAGGAATTTCAGGTTTTGCAGGTAACACAGAAACCTAACAATACCTAATCCTTTACATTTTAACTCAGGCCTTGCAGCTTAGAAACTTTATAATGCCCGGTCTTTTACCCTTTCACTTTTACACTTTAACTTCAATTTCTTTTACCCTTACAATATGTATATATATGAGCCTTTTCTTCTGTGAAAGTGAGAAAGAATTTTACCACATTTCACATTTACCACATTTCACATTCAAAGGATATTTCTCCAGTAAGCTTCCTACATGTTTATGAGTGAAATAGTAACAACAGAAGACTAAGCCAGTTGCGTTCATGAGTGCGATTTCTCTGCAGTGTGAGTTTGTTCATGTCTCCGAAGGTAAGTGGATCTAGCAAAGGCTTTCCCACACTGCTTACATTCATAGGGCTTCTCTCCAGTATGTGTTCTCCCATGTATGTGAAGCTCAGTGGATGTAGCAAAGGCTTTCCCACATTGTTGACATTCATAGGGCTTCTCTCCAGTATGTGTTCTTCTATGAATCTGAAGGTAACAGGATCTAGCAAAGGCTTTGCCACACTGCTTACACTCATAGGGCTTCTCTCCAGTATGTGTTCTTCTATGAATTTGAAGGTAACCAGATGTAGCAAAAGCTTTTCTACACTGTTTGCACTCATATGGCTTCTCTCCAGTATGAAAACGTTCATGTACCTGAACGGAAGAGAATGTAGCAAAGGCTTTTCCACATTGTTGACATTCATAGGGCTTCTCTCCAGTATGTGTTCTTCCATGAATCTTAAGGTTACTGGATGTAGCAAAGGCTTTGTTGCACTGCTTACACTCATAGGGCTTCTCTCCAGTATGTGTTCTTCTATGAATCTGAAGGTAACTGGATGTAGGAAAGGCTTTGCCGCAGTGCTTACACTCATAGGGCTTCTCTCCAGTATGTGTTCTCCCATGTATGTGAAGCTCAGTGGATGTAGCAAAGGCTTTCCCACATTGTTGACATTCATAGGGCTTCTCTCCAGTATGTGTTCTTCTATGAATCTGAAGGTAACAGGATCTAGCAAAGGCTTTGCCACACTGCTTACACTCATAGGGCTTCTCTCCAGTATGTGTTCTTCTATGAATTTGAAGGTAACCAGATGTAGCAAAGGCTTTGCCACACTGCTTACACTCATAGGGCTTCTCTCCAGTATGAAAACGTTCATGTACCTGAACGGAAGAGAATGTAGCAAAGGCTTTTCCACATTGTTGACATTCATAGGGCTTCTCTCCAGTATGTGTTCTTCCATGTCTTTGAAGGTGACTGGATGTAGCAAAGGCTTTCCCACACTGCTTACATTCATAGGGCTTCTCTCCAGTATGCGTTCTTCCATGAATCTGAAGGTGACAGGACCTAGCAAAGGCCTTTCCACATTGTTGACATTCATACGGCTTCTCTCCAGTATGTGTTCTTTTATGTACATGGAGCTGAGAGGATGTAACAAAGGCTTTTCCACACTGTTTACATTCATAGGGCTTTCCTCCAGTATGAATTTGTTTATGTATCTGAACGTAAGAGGATGTAGAAAAGGCCTTTTCACATTGTTGACATTCATAAGGTTTCTCTCCAGTATGAGTTCGTTCATGTGACAGAAGGGCAGAGGGCTTAGCGAAAGCTTTGCCACACTGCTTACATTCATAGGGCTTCTCCCCAGCATGTGTTCTCTGATGTATTCTAAATAAACTGGGATAAGCAAAGTCTTTCCCACATACCTTACATTTAAAAGGTGCATTTTCAGTGTGGGTGATCCTGTGACATTGAAGACTTGTGAGTGAAGTACAGGTCCGACCACCTTCTTTACATTCACAGAGTTTCTCTCCAGAATGAGTTCTTTCATGCCTTCTAAATAAAGAGGAGAAATGAAAGGCTTTCCCACATACCTCACATTGAACAGCTTTACCTCCACTCTGTGTTCTCATGTGTCTTTGAACATCTGTGGGAGAAGATGAGGCTTCACCACATTGTTGATATTCAAAGGGTTGCCACCCAGTATGAGTAACTTCATGCCTTTGAATGGTACTGAGACAGCTGAAGACTTTCTCACATACTCTATTTTCATAAGGTCCATCTCCAGTTTCTGTTAAAATTTGTGTGTGAACGCTTTTGGGAGTTACCACAGATTTCCTGTAATGCTTCAATTCACATGGCTTCTCTTCACATTCCTCATGCTTGCAGGGTTCATGTCCAGAGTGACATGCGATGTGCCTATGACAAAATGAAGGACATATAGTCTTTTGCACACATAACACACTTACATGTATTTACTGTATTAAAATTTGTCTTTGTCCAGTTAAGAACTGGAATCTCATTGAAAGTTTCCCCACACTATCTTCTTGGCTTCTGAAGTTTACCCCATGGCTTCTTTGAAGAATAGCCAGCACATTATCAATGCTGGATTCATTCACATTGTTCTATTTATTTAAAGGTCATAAGCTTACGTTACTATGAACAACAGGTAAAGGATAGGATTTCTGACTTGTTCAAATTGCCTGAAAATCAAGAGATTGAGAGGAAACAATCGTTTGCAACACAGCTTCCCTATGGCTATCATGCAAATAGTGATATTCACATATGCAATTTCATAGTACTTTTTGCATGTCAAGCACTTTGAAAACACTGAATATCTGTTACAGTTAAGTATATATTTCCTGTAAAAAAAATCTTGTAAGAATAAATACATTTCAAATTGTGCATATTTCTCCGTTTGGTTTGTTTTAAATATTATATGGCATTCTCAGATTCCCTCCAGGATTCCTCTTGTGAGTACAATTACCTTAGAATGCTCCCAGAATGTTCGATCTGATCTTCAATGGTCTTGTCTTCCCATTTGTTTCCTAAAATGCAAAACCAGAATGATCTTTATAAATTTTTAGGAGCTAGAAATGCTTTTCCAAATCCTAGGTGCCATTTATGCTACAATAGTTCAACAACTGATTCTCTTTTCACCTTCTACATAAGTGACCAAAATAAATACGAGTTCTCTATCTCATTAATTAAAGAAACATCATTATTACCTATAGAAGTCAGGTATCTGAGGACTTCCAGCATCACATCTCTGTAAAGGTTCTTCTGGGAAAAATCCAGCAAAGCCCACTCCTCCTGGTTGAAGTTCACAGCCACATCCTCAAAGGTCACTGAGATCTAAAATATCCCACAAATGTATAGTGGAGGTCAAGAAAAATTGACAGCATAAGAAATCTACACTCAACATGCATGATGTTCACATGATTCCCTGGCCTCCAATTCATTCCACGATTTGGTCCATGAAATCCTTACTGCATTTGATTGTTCTTGGCCATTCTAGCAGTAGAATTGGGCCACTCAAAAGGCAAACAGTAGAATGTTGGACACCCTTCCTTTGGTGTGTTCATAGGAAGTAAGAAAGCCTTCCAGGTCACTCCTAAATTCTTTGTTGGTTTTAACTATTACAGGTCCTAACATTGTCCTGTGCAGTAGAAAGCTTATATTAACACTCCCAATACTACTTAAACTTAGAAAAGAAAGCTGACTGAGTAGAAAATTGCTGGAATCACAAAACAGCATTTCTGACAGATTCTGCCAACCACAGTGGCTCACTGGGCCTCCACAGAAAATGTCAACAACATGGAAATTCTGATCTCCTGTTTCCTTCTGAAAGTATACTGTTCCCTCTTTAAATAAATGCCTAGAGGGCTGGGGATGTGGCTCAAGCGGTAGTGCACTCGCCTGGCATGCATGCGGCCCAGGTTCGATCCTCAGCACCACATACAAATAAAGATGTTGTGTCCGCCGAAAACTAAAAAATAAATATTAAAAAAATTGTCTCTATATCTACATCTCTCTTGCTCTCTCTTTAAAAAAAATGCCTAGAATTAGGGCCCACCCACAACCTCTGGGCATGGGTCACTAAGGATCTTCCCTCATAGACAATATTTAGACAACATTACACACAATTGGTCACAATGTGTTCACTGGGGATTGAGCTCAATTTGGTTGATCATAACAAGAACAAATAGAAGTTTGCAGGTGATTTACTCCAGAAGACAATTAAGCCAACTAGTAATCAAACACAATGATTAACACCTTTATTTATTTTATTTTAATATAATGCTGTGAACCAAACTCAGTACCTCACAAATGCCAGGCAAGCAATCTACCAGTGAGCCACAACCCCAGTCCCAAGCACCATGATTAATAAACATGACAATTTGACAATTTCTGGTGGTTAATGTCAAAGCAGAATGGAGTGTGTGGAAAGATGGCATGTTTCTCAGAAATAACTCAATGTGCCCAAGATGTCACCTTGTCAAAAACAACAGCCTTACAAAGCTATATAAGTCTGAAAAACAGCCTTCTTAACAGACAGCAGAAAGTACTTTTCCAAACCTCATGTCAACAATGAATATCCAATGATTGTCAAATTCCTCTGAACAGCAGATGTCTCACTCAGATGATGTACAACTATGAGACACACACCAATGTTCTGCTCAAGGACAATTTGATCAAGAATGGGCCACATGTGCAATGGTTGTCTGTTGTGAAAGAGATTCCTTGTGCCTGTAATACAGCTGGTGCAAAGAGACCTCAGGCACAAGCACTTCCAGGGGGGGGTAAAGCAGCAGGTTTGCAGCCCAGAATCCTGAAGTATCCCACGCTGACTGTGAGTGAAACAGGCCACTCCACGCATGTCTCTAAGCACGCTATGATCTCTGAACAGTGTGGAACAGCCAAAGAGCTCACCTGCTAGACAGTGCCCCTGCCACTGACACAGCACCAACTCAAGGACTTAAGACATATGACATTCTGAGCAGCACAGTATCAGAAGAGGTTAATAAGAGTCCAAGAGAAAGCCTGGAGTGAGCTGGCCTCCATGCATGGAAAGATTATGAGTGAGAGAAGGTGCCTAAAGACAGATCACAGTGATGGTGCAGGCAAACTGGAATGTACGTGGCAAAAGGTACTCCATCCCTCTCTTCTGCAGACAAAAGTCCATGTATTACACGTTGAAATGTGAAAGACTAAAACACTTTTCAGAAAGTTAAAGGAAACATGGTTTTATTTATTTATTTATTTATTTATGGTGGGGCAGATTAAAAACTTAGCAGAAATCAAATCCAGTCCAGGGGATAAAAATCATGCAGCCACATCCCTCTCACATTTTTTTTTCTTTCTTTCTTTCTTTTTCTGGTGCTGGGGATCGAACCCAGGGCCTTGTGCATGCAGGGCAAGCACCCTAACAACTGAGCTATATCCCCAGCCCTCACATTTGATGTTTTAAGACAGAGTCTTGTCTGTTGCTTCCCTTCTGTCCCACCACACTGGCACTCAGGGGAGTCTAGAAATGGACTGAACACAAGCCAATTCACCACACACACCACAGACAAAGCAGTTTCTAAGCAAATGCATGAAGCCTTCAAGAAAAAGGAAGAGCACCATAGGAGAAAGGGGAGAACACATTTCCATCCACTTTTCAACAACAAAATGTACAAAGAATACTGAAAGACAGGAAGCCGTGGCTCAGCAAAGGAAAATACATGACTTGAGATTGACCAACCCTGAGCAAGATCAGACTTCAGAATCCCTAGGTTAAATTTTCTTCCTTTCTTCTTTCCGTTTTTCTTTCTTTCCTTCCTTTTTCTTTTCATTTCTTTTTTTTTATACCAGGAATGGAACACAGAGGTGCTTAACCACTAAGCCACATCCCCAGCCTTTTAAATTTTATTTATTTATTTTTGTTTTGAGATAGGATCTAATTTGTTCAGGGTGTCTCTAACATATACTGAGGCTGTCTTTGTACTTGGAATCCTTCTGCCCATAACATGGGATTACAGGCCTGTGCTGTCTCTAGACTAAACTGTAAAATAACGCTCTTAAATTTTAATATGCATGCAACTGAAACAAAGTGAAAAATACACCAGGTAGAGCCATAGAGAACTGTCCAGGACAATGAAGAATGCACACTTACACTGGAGACATCAGCCTAACTCTGTTGGATCAGAAAGGCAGACAGGAGGGCTCCACTGGCCTTCAGCCAAAGGGGAAGCACATAGAGTTCTCAGGGTCACAGCAACACCCCCAGGACAAAGCATATCCTGAGCCATAAACCACACCTCTACAAGCGTGCAACCCCAAAGAAATCCCATGTATGCTCAAAGACCATGGAGGGTGAAGCAGAAATCAGATAAGAAGCATCCAGAAAGCCTTTAGACAAATGGAGGTGATGCACAGGGCTCTAAACAGATCTGCTCGGAGCCATTAGGCAAGTAGGTATGACAATTTCCTTGCCAGTGTACCCCATGTTGCTTAGTGGAAGGACTTGTGGAAATAGGACATTTTGCAGTGACATTGCATGTAGGTGACCTTGCTCAAGGACCAGGGCGGATCCCGGTTTAGGGCATTCCCAGTTTAGGATAATCTGGGTTTAGGGCATTCCCGGTTTAGGACAATCCAGGTTTAAGGTTATTCCTGCTGGGAATAGGGCGTATCCTGCTGCCTGAGTTCCCCTTGAGTTCTCACAGGATTCAGACAGTATTTTTTGGGAGACAGAAGCCCAGTGGGTGTGGATTTGGGCAGAGAACGTGGATTTCCCCAGAACGTGATTGTAGACGGCTGGTGTGAGTTCGGGAATAAAGAGTTGCTGTTTGAATCTACAAGCTGTGTGGTGGCTCGTGATTTTGTGCCCAGCAAGACTGCGGCATTTGATGGTCCGTATGGGGAACGTCTAAAACTTGGAGGTAAGTGAAATTGCTCGCCCCTGAGGGAAGGCGAGAGAATGGGTGAACATTTCAAAAAACAATGTGTTATTGTTTTGATTTATTTTGTTTTTATTTCAAGTTGCCTGTTCCTAGAACTTTCTCAGGCAAACTGGGGAAAATGGTTGACTCAAGGTTTGAAGTTGTTCGCCTCCGAGGAAGAAAAATTGTTAGAGGAAAGAGGCACCCCAGTAAGACCAAGAACAGTTAGGACATATGTTGATACAATACAAAAATGTAGCCCATGGCTTTTTAAAGACGAGTTATTAAGTATATTAATGGGACCATCACGGTATCCTGTAGAAAGATTTTTCTTCAACAAGAAAGACAGGGCTAGTTCTCTTTACTACATTTGTCTAAGATCTTGGTTTTTACAAACATCTGATTAATTTACAAAGCTAAAGTGTTAAAATATCAACCACTATATATGAAATCAAGTACTCTTTACTTATTAAGTTCCATAAGGTAATATATTTAAACATTATGTGTGTTTTCATAAATTGATAAATGGAAAAATGTTTAATATTGCTTTGTGTCTGTGTCTTTGCTAAAACAAGGTTACTAAGAGTTAAGATTCTATCATGTGTAATTTATATACAAAGAGTAGAAAAATTTTCAGTTGGGTTTCAATTATAGTATTATAGTATTATAAAAAACATGAAAGTCTTTCATCTTATTAAAGTGGAGTAATTTGTCTAAATCAGAAATTTTATAAGAGTTGTTTCAAAATGTGAATTTATAAAAAGGGTTAATGGTTAAAAAAGAGATAGAAAAAGATTCAAGATGTGGAAATATATAAGGTTAAAGGAAAAAGAAATGTTTCTAGATGAGATAATCTATGTGTGGTAAAGTAAAAAGTTGTAAAATGCCATTTAAAAAGATTTTGAGGAAACTAGACTTACTTTAAAAGCTTGAGAAAGGAAAAAAGAAGAAAAAAGGTATTTGTACATGGCAGATTGAGACAAAGCTTCTCAATGGAGTTTAAAAAAAAAGCCTTTGGTTGAAGGGCAGCCATTTAAACTAACATTGAAGCGATTTAAACAAAATCTAAGCCTCGTTTAAAAGAGTGAAGCTGTAGGTGGTGAAAAAGTACATTTAAAAGTACAGTATAGATGATAATTGGAAGGCTTTAAAAGGTTAAATTGAAGGTGGTTAAAATGCCTTCATGATGGAGGAAAGATTGCATCATTCGAAGCCTAGTTAATCTTAAAAACATTACTTAAAAAAAAAATAAAACCCATGAAAATGGGAAGATAATAGGATAAAAGATATTTAGATAAAGAAGATTAAAAATTTGAAGTGAAAAACTTTAAAGACAGAAGTATAGAAACTTAAAAAGAAAAAAAGAATATGTAGAAAAAAAATGTAGGAAGACAAAAATTTTAAACCCACAAAATAAAAAAAAATAAA